TAGTGGGACAAAGGCTTGATATTGTAGTATGTTGTAAATTATAAAGAAAATCTATCTATGAATCAAAATATGTTATATGTATCGATCACCTATATCAATCAACCATTCTATTTTTATCATACAACCAATTTTATCCAGTCATATCATTTAATCATTCTCGCCAGTATATTAGTTATTCAATTATAAGGCAGTGTTAGTATCTGTATTCCGTAACAATAAGCAGTAACAGAAATTAGTGTCCAAAAGGTCAATGTCCGTACAGCTCCAATTTGAATGTGTTTTACGGAGAAAATTAGGAGAGAGGGGTCGGAGCGACTGAACCCGAAACCACGTGCGAGGAGAAAGGTGGTAAATTTCTGAAACCACTGACGTGGAGCTTGTTTGAGTCCGTATAAGGATTTTTGTAGTTTGCAGACGTGGTTTGGAAATTGAGGATCTTCAAAACCTTGTGGTTGACGCATGTAGATAGCGTCGGGAAGATCTCCGTGTAGGAAGGCATTTGTGACATAGAGTTGAAGAATGTTCCAGTTGCGGTTGACGGCGAGTGTAAGAAGCATTCGGATAGTCGTCATTTTGGCCACCGGGCTAAATGTTTTAGTATAATTTTCACCAAATTTTTGTTCATATCCTAATGCGACAAGCCGTGCTTTGTGGCGGTCTAGCTGGCCGGAGGGAAGAAGTTTAGTCTTATACGTCCATTTGCAGCCCATAATGCGAGTATTGGGCGGTGGTGCGACTAAAGACAAGGTGTTTTGATGTAGAAGAGCTCGGAATTCTGTCTCCATTGCCTTTTGCCAGTGAGGTTGAGTCGAAGCTTGTTTGAACGTGGTTGGAGTAGTCGGTTTTGTGACCTAAACAAGAAAATAGAAAGCAAGAAGAAAGCAAACTGACAAAAAAAAATTACCCCACCAGAAAAAAATAGTATAGCAGGTTTCTATTGTACCAAACACTAGTAACGTCTTGTATAAGCTAGTGTTTTGTGCATTCCTGTGCAAGTTTGACAAACAGAGCAGCAATCCATGAATCTCTGTTGAAGTTTTCACCATAAGAAAAGAGTTTAAAGTAGAACTAAGTTTTTGTTAGGCGAGACTACCCAAGTGCAAGTCCTATATTAGCTGTTCCTTGATCGAGATTACCCCTTAATAAAAATTTGTCTGATTAAGAAATCTACAATGGTTTGATGTTTCAAACATTTATTGTAGATGTTGGTGAAGTCTGGATCAGCTTAATAAAGCTCCTTGAGGAATGCGCAGCCCGTAGTTCTTACTGGTTTGTAAAGCCACCATCAAGGAAGAGCAGTGACTTAAAGCATCGGACACTCTATTTGTTTTCAGTGTTTAAACACAAAATTGAATTTCTACAAGAATAAAATCCATCTCGTTTGTATCCTGCTACATGTTTTATGGGTCTGTAAGCAATGCTAGGTCTGATAATTACATAATAGCAAAAAATCCTGATGATGAAGGTAGTGCTCCCACTGCTTGAGCGTGCGAACGATTGCAAATAATTCCAATTTATAAACAGTTCACCTCTGTTGTAGCAAACCCAATTTCTCATTGATGAACTTAGCCGTTCGATCTTCTTGTGATTAGACAATGCTGATGTCGGTAGCTGAAGCGTCCGTATCAATCAGGGAAGGCTTGCCAAAAATTAATGCAATCATGAAAAAAAGTGAAGCACATGTTGAAGTCACAAACTTAAGTGTTGCAAATTTGAAATTTATGTTCTTAATTAGGTGTAGCAAATTTGAAACTTCAGGTGTCATGCGCACTACCTAGCATGAAAAAGTGAAACACGTGTTGAAGTCACAAACTAGCATAATATATTATATTGTTGAACCTCATCTTCCAATATAAGTGACCTTTTCAGCACTCGGAACATGAGCATCAACATGCATTCATCAATGGATCATCTACCTTGAAATATGACATATATCAACTCTCATAGAAAATCTCCCTTGGGGTATTTTGATAATCTCACTAAAGCTTCCAATACAATAGAGAATAACCTACTGATAGTCTCCATTCAATGCTGAAATTGCTCAAATGTCCATCTTATTAATTCATTATGCAATATAATATATAAGGTGGTCGCAAAAATACTTGTCTCACTATTATCCTTGGTGATCCATATAGACCATGAACACTTTTTAAGTCATACAGAAGATCCACCACAAAAATGATTGAGATATATGAAACATACTATGAAATCGCATAGGATGATGACCTTATAGCTGCTCTCCAATTCATTTGTCTCTATTGTATGATGAGGTCATATTTGATGTTAAAATATAATAAAGAGAAGCATTTCTACTGCTGCTTACAGAGCCAAAGAAACCTGGCATTATTCTGCATTTTTGTTTAAAGCACAGAAAATAATTGGCATCAGAGCAATAGAGCACTTCAATAAAAAAACATATAAGATGAAAATAATTGAAGTTCTTTTGATTTTTATCATTCATTCATGTTTTATGCATTAAAATAAGCACATGAGAAGACTGAAGAAGAAATTTTAACAAATGTGGCATCTTTCTTTTTCTAACTGGTATAGTTGAAGTAAAAAAAGACTAAAGAAAATTTGAAACAACACAAGGCCAAAGAGGCACTGGAGCAGGATTATGGAAGCCACAGGTACTGATATGCACAAAAGCAGGATTTTCTCCTCGCCTCTCATATTATATATTATCTATACTATGCGTCTATGCTAAAGCTGACACCAAACCATTAGAAGTTAAAATAAAATCCACTGTTATATAAATAATTTCATCTAAAATTTTCATTCACGCCTATTACTAACTGTTAGTTCTGTGTAGAATTTGATTATGTTGATCGATCATGTTCTAATATTATCTCGGATCTCAATTTCATCGGTTGATCTCGCTGGGAGGTTGGAGGGTTCTCTTCTTACTTGGGTTCAAGCACTTTGTATATAGATTTTTTTTCTATACAATTGTACAACGCTATATATCTGTGCAATGCGACGCTGTATAACTTTCTTGGAGACAGACAGAAAGTGGAGTGCTGCGGCACTCTAAACCTTGGCATTGCAGTGTTGCGACGCTATTAGACAAATATGAGACAAAGGTGCCGCGGCGCTGTGAGATGACAGTTTTCTTTCTTATTTTTCATTAAAGATTGCATCTCTTATAGGTTTTTGTTTATATTTTCTCCTTATTAGTTAGTTTTTTTGTAGTTAACATTAAAAGAGAGAAGAGAGATAAAGAGATAATGAGAGAAGCAAGAACGGTAATATTTCTTTTAAATTTTCATTATGAATTTTTTTAATGTGATATGGCTCTTTAATTTTTTTTCGGATTTCAAATTTTAATATATTAAATTCAAGTGTTCTTTATTTTCACTATAATTTTTTATTTCTTATTTTTCTTGCTTGCCTGTTCGGCTGTTCCACTTCCCCCAACACTTTTTTTTTTTTTTTGGGACATTTAGGCCATTTAAGGCAAACTCACACACACAACGCATACACAAAGACTCGAACCTTGGACCTCTTAGTTGGAAGCCTAAGCTCTCAACCAATAGGCCAAGGAGAGTTATACTTGTCTCACTATTATCCTTGGTGATCCATATAGACCATGAACACTTTTTAAGTCATACAGAAGATCCACCACAAAAATGATTGAGATATATGAAACATACTATGAAATCGCATAGGTTGATGACCTTATAGCAGCTCTCCAATTCATTTGTCTCTATTGTATGATGAGGTCATATTTGATGTTAAAATATAATCAAGAGAAGTATTCCTACTGCTGCTTACAGAGCCAAAGAAACCTGGCATTATTCTGCATTTTTGTTTAAAGCACAGAAAATAATTGGCATCAGAGCAATAGAGCACTTCAATAAAAAAACATATAAGATGAAAATAATTGAAGTTCAGTGGAGTTTGATTTTTATCTTTCGTTCATGTTTTATGCATTAAATTAAGCACATGAGAAGACTGAGGAAGAAATTTTAACTAATTTGGCGTCTTTCTTTTTCTAACTGGTATAGTTGAAAATTTGAAACAACGCAAGGTCAAAGAGTCACTGGAGCAGGATTATGGAAGCCACAGGTACTGATATGCACAAAAGCTGATTCTGCAATGGTATGGTGCAACAAAGTCCATGGATGTTAATCCACTAAGGGTTCGTTTGGGATGACTTTCTTGCTGCTTCTTAAAATACTTTCTAGTTAAAAAATTATAATTTTTACACTAAAAATCTGTTTTAAGAAGTAGCAAAAAAACTGTCCCAAACGAAACCTTAATCCCTTCGGCTCTATCAACTGCAAATCTGAAAAACCTCAAGCTTCATGTTCTAGTCAAATTTCAAATTGCAGTCCATTCTCAAGGAAAAGTGATCCTATGGAAGCAGGGAAAAGATCAAAAATAAAAAAAATAAAAAATACCACTGTTATATAAATAATATTATCTAAAATTTTCACGGATCTCAATTTCATCGGTCGATCTCGCTGGGAGGTTGGAGGGTTCTCTTCTTACTTGGGTTCAAGCGCTTTGTATATAGATTTTTTTTTCTATACAATTGTACAACGCTATATATCCGAGCAATGCGACGCTGTATAATTTTCTTGGAGACAAATAGAAAGTGGAGTGCTGTGGCGCTCTAAACCTTAGCACTGCAGTGTTGCGACGCTATTAGACAAACGTGAGACAAAGGAACCACGGCGCTGTGAGATGACAGTTTTCTTTCTTGTTTTTCATTAAAGATTGCACCTTTTAGAGGTTTTTGTTTATATTTTCTCCTTATTAGTTAGTTTTTTTTAGTTAACATTAAAAGAGAGAAGAGAGATAAAGAGATAATGAGAGAAGCAAGAACGGTAATATTTCTTTTAAATTTTCATTATGAATTTTTTTAATGTGATATGGCTCTGTAATTTTTTTCGGATTTCAAATTTTAATAAATTAAATTCAAGTGTTCTTTATTTTCACTATAATTTTTTATTTCTTATTTCTCTTGCTTTGCCTGTTCGGCTGTTCCACTTCCCCCAACACTAACAGCGCAATAAAAAAGAGCACCGATATAGATGCACAATGAAAATGAAAGTATTCATTCACTACAAAATATGTATTATAATAAGCATTCTAATTTATGGGGCATAGAGCTGCTGCTGGCCTGCTGCTTTGGCTTCCCTAACCGAGAGGGAGAGAGTTTTAGGTTTTGAGGTTGTTCCTGATAGAAATGAAAGCGGAGAACTCCTGCTGCCTTCGGTTCTTACGCGAAAATGTGAGAGAAAAGCATCTTATTCTTCTTCTTCAAGTTTTCCTGGAAGAAATCGGGAAGAGTTTTTATTTACCCTCTTACAGTTGGAATTTCAGTTGGATGAAACAAAGCAGAGACGACATTTGACTGCTTTTGGCTGGCTAGTCTGGTCGTTCTGAAGCTTAACTTGCTATCCTTCCTCGTCCTCATCCTCATTCACCAACTTCAACGAGGTGGTGGTGGAGGGGACGTCCAGAATAGTCCAAACAGCTGCTGATTTTCCTCTCAGTTGCATTCGTCTCTTCTATTAGTACTACCGCAGAAACCATGGGAGGCTAGCTCCGGTGAGGTATATTCTCAAATTCTCAAACTTAGGTAACCTATTTTGCCGCTATGATTGTGTGTGTACCATTTCCCCCAGCCGTAGGTCCATTTAGATCACCCTTAGCTTAGGATTTCAGCTAGCAACCCTGATGCCCTTTTAGTTAACCCATGTAAATCGGATGAATATCTATGAGTTCTTATTTGAGAACTCAAATAAGAGGGTTGCGAAGCGCCGGATTATTGGACTCATGTCAGATAAACTCCCTAATGCATGAATGTGCATTCATATTGGAGCCATGCATCGTTTATATTAAACCTCAGGCTATTCGTAGTCATTGGATCCCAAATCAAATGGCTGCACATAGATTTTAATCTGTATAAGTTGCATTTACTTCTTATCAAGATCTAGTTTATTATAAAATCAATCTGTAGGAGCATTGTATTTGTTTCGATATGTAATCATTTCTTAAGTTTTGATGGATGCCCAAAAATGAATTTAATTAATTTGAAAAATCAATAAATTATGTTGAGATCTTTTATAAACCCTCAAAAGTTGGCCGTTTCAAAAATGGGTTAACGGCTCGGGTTTGAGTCTGACCTAAAATTGATCCGCTTTGAACCCATCCAACCTGTTAAATAAATGAATCGAAATCCTGAACTCGAACTGACCTATGGGCAAAACCCATTTTTTTGGACCTGACCCACTAACCCATTTATATTTAAAACAATTTTTTTTTTTATATGGCTTAAATAGAACATAATCAAGAAGTGTAATAACAAATTTGCTAAAACATCTTGGTTTAGTATTGATTATTTTATAAAAGACATAATACAATACAGATTATTGAAGTCATTATATCACTAAAACAACTTGGCTCAATAAATACTTGCTTGTATGCGTTTAGCTACAGGTGGAGAAGAACTTTTTGCAAAGACTAAGCTTCTATTGTTATACATGTTCTTATCATAAACTCTAGAAAATCATAAACATCATTCTCTACATCCTTATTAGCTTTCAATTGACACAAAAAACTTCTCTTTCGCTCCAAAATCAACTTAAAAGGTGAACAAGCACATTTTAGCAAAGCTGAAACCATTATCTTGATAATCAAAGTGGTAGCACAAATTTACCATCAGTGGCTTTTACCTATCATCGGTCAATCGATGTTGTGAGTTATTAGAGAAGGGAGTGTTAGTTTTGTGTCAAATATGATTGACCAATCGTATTATATTGTTGCCTTGAACCTCCATTCAGTATGTCGAGCTCACTAGAGGGTTGTAGGAGGTCCTTATCCTATTTGGATTCTGGTGCCCTGGTGTTATGCACCCCTGTGCTTCAGTGCTGTGCACCCTAGCTCTATAGCACTGCATATTTTTCTTTGAGATTGAGAAAAATAGAGTGGTAGCACTGTGACTCTCTAGACCTTGACACCGCAGTGCAATTTATTAGACTAGAGACACAAAGTTAAGTATGGCAACATGACGTTGTGAGGCTGGCTGAGCAGTTTTCTTTATCGTTTTTCATTAAGGATTGTGTCCGATGGTTGTTGTATTGTATCTCCTGGTTAGTTCTAAGTTTAGAACGGTGCAAAAGAGAAGAGAGACATGAAGAGAGCGAGAGATAAAAGAAATCTGTACTATTTTTCATTTTCTCCCAAATTTTCATAGTGATTATCTTGGTGTGGTGTGACTCCGTGATTTTTTTTCCCAATTTCATATTTTTTCACATTAAATTATGATGTTCTTTCTTTATGCAGCATTTTTTATATCCTGTTTGTTTCATTGTATGCTTTACTTTCCCTCAACAACTGGTATCAGAGTCACACTCTTTAGTTCGAGTGCTTGTAATGATTGATGAAGCAAAATACAAGATTAAGAAGTTCAATGGTTCGAACTTTGTATTTTGGAGGATGCAAATTGAAGATTTGCGGTACCAAAAGAAGTTCTATTTGTTGTTGTAAGGAATCACCAAGAAGCTTGATTCAATAACTATGGAGGAGTGGGAGGTTCTTGACCGGGCATCCATAGGTTTGATTAGACTTTTACTTTCCTCATATGTTGCATTCAACATAGTAAATGAGAAGACTATAATCGATCTCATGGTTGTACTAATTAAAATGTATGAGAAGTCGTTGCCTCAAACAAATTTTCTTGATGAATAAGTTATTAAATATGAAAATGTTAGACATCACTTTAATGTCAAAACACCTGAATAATTTGAACACTGTGATGAGTCAATTGTGTTCAGTTGACATTAAGTTTGATGATATGGTGAGAGCATTACTGCTGTTATATTCATTGCTAGATAATTGAAATGGGTTGGTTACTGCTGAGTAACTCTTTAGGAAATTCAAAATTGAACATTGAGGAAATTGTTGGGTTAATACTTAATGAAAAGGTTAGTAGGAAGATGAACGTTGAACAAATTTTGCTCTTAATGCTAAAGCCAGAGGAAGGGATTGTACTAACCCGAAAATATGTAAAGGTTAAAAAAAATAAAATAAACTGAATTTATGTTTGAACTGGAGTGCAATGTTGCTGTGTTTTAGAGCGTTGCAGTGTTGTGATGAGAGAATAGCGATGTTGGAAATCGATGCTGCGGCGTCGACACTCTATTCTACAATAATTTTTGATTCAACATGCAATGCTATGGTGCTAAGCCACTTAAAAAATATATTAATTATTAAATCATAATATCTTAAGCATTAAGCCACCCCTCCCCCTCACAGCCGTGATGTGCTTAGGAAGGAAGAATGGGAGAGGGAGAGGAAGAGAGAGGGAGGAGAGAGAAGACATTTGGGGCATGTTCATTTGTCAATTATGTTTAGAGATGTCTTCTAATCATTGTAAGTAATTCAAATCTCATTTTAGTATTTAATTATTTTGAGTTTAACGGATTTATTCTCTCTTAAATCGATAAAAATGTATTCTCCTGATTTACCGCACTTTCACTGTGTAACTTATTGTATACGATAGATACAGATTTTATGAATATTTTGACTATAATATTATTTAATTTTACAAGGTAAAATGAAAGTAATGATTTTCTGAGCTATAAATTAATATATAGATTTTCCTGCATTTTATAGAGCTGAACATTTCATGTTGCATTTTATACATTAAAAAATATTTCATGAAAGCAAGAAAGAGTGGCTTTTAACGCTATAATTAATTCAGATTAATTGTTAAAATATAATACCTTGCGCAGGAGGGTGGGCCGGCGTGCTTTTTTTAAAGATGGTTTGTGGTGTTATCTCGATTGTAATTTGTAATTAATGATCGATTCGCCAATGAATACAGGGTGACGACTCTTAATGATTTATTGAAAGATACCTAATATGATAAAATAATAACGATGATGTAATTAAAATGATAATGATATGAATGCACATATGTACAGATGAAAACACAACATTAAAGTTGATGTACTACCTTACTAAATCATATATTGAAGCATGTATACATTGATTGTATCAATAAATAGAATTGTATTGTGCATAAAAAACATTGATAGATGGGTCATAATGGGTGCAAATATATATATTGACTATATATGATACATATGATTAATAATATATAAGATAAATAAGACTGATGATATTGACACTTTATGTCTTGACTCATTTACTAATTTGTGAATAATTTAAGTATGATTGCTTTATGGATTTATTGATTTTTATATTGACTATTGATCCATATATTTCATTGAAATGATTTCTTAATTTTTTTATTGATCATTTTAAGCCTTATAATTAATAATTGATCATTGATGAGATTGCTATTGATTATATTGACTGAACTAAGCATGCATATTAATTATTTAAACATTGCATTGGAAGCTTTAGTGAATTTGAGTTATTGCTGAGCTTTTTAGCTAATTATATGAATTTTAATAATTTCAGGTCAGGAAAATAATAAAGACCAGGAGTGAGGTTGTCAGGGATCCTCAGATTATTCTTTTATTTTTATTTTTAATTTTCTTGTATTCTTTTTATAGACAAGAGCTATGAATTGATTATTAGTTTTACTAATCTCCGGACTATTATATAATTTTAGGAGAATGAATATAGAGAAATATTTTCCTGATATATGATATTTAATTACTTTCGTTAAAAATTGAATTATACGAATAATTTATAGAAGCTCTCTGGTAAATGATTAAAAATATAAAGTAGAAATTCTTTCAAATTTGATTATAAGGCTTGACAATTATATTATGATTTATATGATTTTAGTTGCTTCCACAATAATGATTTATATTAATGAATTCATTGAAGTTCTAGTTGATTATTTAAGTGATGAAAAATATATAATTCTTTCAAATTTGATCTTGGGATGTGACAGAAGTTTAGATATAAATCCTACTAGAGGAAGATCTAAATCCAAGAGAGAAAAATCTACTTCAAGTAGAGGAAAAGTTGTGTTCTAGAACTATAAAAAAAGGGTCACTTGAAGAAGGATTATACAATTTCAAAGAAGGCTAGTGGTGGGAGTCAAGATAAAGTCACTATGCAAATGTTTATGTAGAAGAGTTTCAAACATATTCTTTGATTTTATTTTTTGGATAATTTTAAATCTTAGATTATAGATTCAGGTGCTTCATTTTATGCAAGTCTAACAATGAGGTATTGAAGAGATACACTCAAGGTGATCTGGGCTAGGTGTGTCAAATTTTGACATGATCCGAAAACTTAACCTAGAAAATTTGATTTTGGGTCGACTTGTTTAACAAACAGGTTGGGTTCAGGTTCTAATTCCCGGCCCTTTTAAAAAATCGGGTCATGTCCGTGTCAACCTGTTAACTCAAAAATGGCCCAAAAATTACCTACGTGCAGGCCTGTGTGCCCCTCAACCCGCATCTTGTAGTCCCGCCTTCACCGCGTTATGCTTGCAGTTGGCTTGCAGCCTGCCTTGCAACCGCTCCAACTAGCTTGCTCTTGGTCTTTCCCTCGCCGCTCGTGGCCTCTCCATCGCCCTTGCTTGCTCGTGATCTCACCCTCACCCCGTGATCCGCTCTCAACGCTC